TTCTGCATGTGCGTTTCACAACATAAACCACTTTAGGCACAGCATTTCCCTTGAAATGCGCAGCTCACAGTGTTGTACCATGCACTAAGCATATTAGTTAATTAATTAATTCACCCAGACCCTCAGCTATTTAGTCATTTGATCAGTCAGAAAACAATTTCAGGATTGGTCCAGTTTGCCACATTTACAGAATTAGCCGACATTCGGTTCCTGATATTGTCCACACAAGTAAAGATGGCTAGCATAATGTTCATGACATGACACCACACACCACTGAATGTTGATTTGTTTTTACAAACATACGTAAACCTCTTTAGACTTCCATCCTCTATGGTTCTTGCTTTTACTTCTGCAATCAATTTATGATTTCTTTACATTACCCTTTTTATATGAGCCACAGCCAACACGACTTATTTGATGCGGTAGCTGAGAGAGGTTACGCCCTCAGCCCTTGCCCCTAGCAGTCTAGTTCGTCTAACGTTATACTGTCCCTTGATCATCGGGTAGTATATCGACTGCCTCGCCTTCTCTGATAGCTACTATGAAATAACTCCTCAGCTGTTGAAAACTGAAAAGTACCTGCTGATAGGCCGTTGGTGTCTCTAGTAAACATGTCCAGCTCCAACAACTACCCTTTTACTGGATGCTAATCCTCGACTAAAAATCTATCAAGCACAATTATATTGTGAGACCTCAGAAATGTTTTACAGAAGAATCCTTGCAATCCATTAGACAGTGTAAAACTGCAACCCAGACGCGAGGGCCCGAAAACATCTTTTCACAAACATCAGCAGGAGACAGATATCATTTACTTGAAATATTGAGAGAAAAAGGAAACTGGAAATATTGTGACCACTGGAAAGATTTGTGGAACGAGAGACAATGGAAGACATTGTGAGAAGATTCTTGACAACCTTCCGTCAAGGTGTGGAGGTGTGTCAGTAAATTAACTGGTACATGTTGTTGGAGATAGCAGGATGTGAAACGACATGATCACCGATGAAAGTCGGTAAGGCACTTGAAGATGATGATGACCCCTTTACTTTTTATTTCTAAGCAGGGATATATTCCTTTTTTTTTTAAAGACTAAGAGCTGCATATGTTTGGCATTAACCGATTCTTGATAGGATCAGGTATTGAATCCAAAGCCTAACTATACCTATAGTGTTGTATCTTGCGACAAGGACGCTAGTGT